CATTTTGTGATACAAAAGTTTTTCACTTCTGATAAAGTTGGATCATTGTTGATAGCATTTTCAAAAATGATTTTTTTGTCGTCGGACATAGGCACATTCAAAGATAGAGAATGAACTATATATTCCATATCTTCATCAATATCAGTTTCATTTTTAATATACGATCTACTGAGTGTATCTGCTACATACATTTCCTTTCCAGGAATATATGTGATATTAATTTTATATTTCAATAATTTTAATAGCATTCTTTGCAAACGAGCACTAACTCTATCCAAGTCTTTTGCAAATATCGGAATAAGAGGTTTATGATCGGTTTGTACAGTAACTTCTCTACCATAAATTAAATAATGAAATTTTTCACAAGCAAATACAATACTAAGTAACTCTTTTTCTATTTGAGCGTATTTTTCTTCAGATTTATTCAGGGATCTAGAAGCGAAGGCAACTGGATGTGAATCTTGTAGAAGAACACAACCCATTCCTTTACTTGATGCATCAGTTTGAATAATGATATTTTTATTTTCATCAAAAATTCTCAATATCGGTTTATTTGTGATCAAACTTTTCAAAGTAAACAGTTCACCTTCATGTTCGTCAGTCCAATCAAATTTAATATCATTTCTAGTCAATTTCCTCATATTATACGTTAATTGTGACAAATTTGGAATGAATTTCGAAAAAAATTTGAACAATCCTAAGATTCTTAGCAAATCTTTCTTATTTTGTGGTGTATCTATGGCTAAAACTGCTTCAATATTTTTACTATTAGGTTCTATTCCTCTTTTAGAGATTATTTGACCTAAAAAAGTTACTTCTTCCAATTTATATTGGAACTTATTATAATTGAATTTTATACCATTTATCAATGCTCTCTCAAATACTTTTTTCAAGGTGATATCATGCTCAATTTCAGTGGTTCCTGTTACAATAATGTCATCAAAATATATTTCCACACCTGGAATATCACCAAATATTTCAAAACTTTTCCTTTGAAATATTTCTGGTGCTGAAGATATTCCAAATGGGACCCTATTGAATTTATAACGGCCAAATGGTGTATTGAATGTACATAGATCAGAACTAGTTTCATTCAACTGCAACTGCCAAAAACCATCTTTCATATCTATGACAGAAAATATAGTTTTGTTTTCTAATCTACTTAAAATATCATCACATTTGGGAATCAAATAATGTTCACGGCATATATATTTGTTCAAAGGTTTTGGATCTAAACATAATCGAAGAGAACCATTAGGTTTCTCAACTATCATCAATGAATTAACCCAATCAGTTGGATAATCTACTTTACTGATTATATTTTTATTTTCCATATTAGTGATTGCTTCTTTGAGTCTACTATGTAGTGCCAAAGGTACTTTACGTTGTGCTTGAATAACAGGTACAGCATCCTGTTTCAATTTAATATTTACAAAACCAGGTACACATCCTAAACCTTCAAATAGTTCTGTTAAATTTTTATAAATATCATCTTTATCTTTTGGAAGTAATTTTTTCTCTTCTAATATTTTATATTGTACTGAATCAACACGGTGTATCAAATTGAAATTAATGCAATCTTTTAGACCAAGCAATGGTTCAGAATCAAGATCAACTACTAGAAACCTAACATTACAAGATCTATTTCTACAAAAACATTCTAATGTTATTTGACCAATTGTTTTGAATTTGAAATTTCCGTATGATATAATCGTAGTTACAGAATGTTCAATTTTTGATTTCGTGAGATTCAATTTATCAAAATATTTTATCGGAAGGACACTTGATTCTGCTCCTGAATCTAATTTGAATCTGATTCTTTCTGAACCAATATTAATATATTCATACCAACTAGAAGCTGTGTTAAATGAATGATTTTTATACTCAAAAATGAAAATATTATCTTCATTATCACCTACAAATCCTTTTTCTTCTATTTCTTGAGAACTTCTTTCAGCATACTCTGATTGGTGGTTTTCTCTCCTTCCTTCAGCATCAATATTTCTTATTTCTTCGATGACCCTTATGCTGTCTTCAGATTCCTCTTCATTTCCTTTTCGATTTCTTGGTACTACTTCATTACTTGTAGTTTCTTGCTTAACTTCCTTATTGTCTTGCATTTCCTTTACTGTATTCTTTGTTGTATATATCAAGACCGCTATCTCCAATGAGATGTAGTAGAACTGCAATCTTGACATCTTCTTCGGATAAATATTTACCCGATGCTTTCATGAAAATGGTGAATTTCTGTTTCCATTTCGGCCAAACGCAGGGTTCATTTATATCGAACGGCGGTGGAGATTTGTATTCCATTCTAGCTTCCATTAGACGTCAATTTCTGTCACTATTGTGAATATTATAGGTTTTTTCACTTTCCTTCTTACTAATTCTTCTATCAGGTTCTTTTTGATACTTCTGACACCATGTTTTATGTTATTATTTTATAAATAAACACTTTTTAAATGTTTTTATAACATTTTATCTTTATTAGCATTTTAAATCAGTTTTTTAAACAATCTCGTCTCTATGTTACTGGCCAAACATTCATATAATAATCAACTATCAACTAGAGATCTATAGTCTATACAGTGTGATATATAAACAAGGATATAAATAAATACATATGCAGGTCAATAATACTTAATAATGATGACCTACACAACAGTGTGGACTGAGCTGATAGAGAGATGTTGAATTTTTGGGGACACAGAATTTTTCACCATATCTTGTAGAGTAATTATGAAAGTCATGGTGTTTAGAGAATTCCGATGAATTGCTTTTTGCATATAAAATGTATTTGTAGATATATATCGACGGCAATGTTATTATTTTATGTTGTTTGAAATGTTCCCTACTACTACTACCTAATAGGCAATATGGCTTCCGTTATCAGAGATCAACTGTGGTGATCTGCTCGCTTACGTCTTACATATATGGCAGCAATCTATTGAAAAATATGGTGAAACCTTATCCGTGGCACTTGATATCTCCAAGGCATTCGATCGAGTCTGGACCACGGACTCCTCGCCAAGCTTCCATCTTATGGCTTGCCTCTCCAGCTATATTCTCTGCTAGCTAGTTTTCTCTCAAACAGATCTCTCCATATAGTGGTCGACGGAGTTTCAGCTGACTCCCTTATCATAAATGCTGGTGTTCCGCAAGGATCAATTCTAGCACCAACACTATTTCTACTCCATATCAACGAGATGTTTTGAAGCAACTTCATCTCCAGTACACAGCTACGCGGATGATAGTACCCTCCATCTCGCCTTCTCTTCCAGGGCTCCAATACCAGCCAGGAAAATCAGAAACGAACGAGGGAGGAATGTTGACAACATAAATATGGACTTGGCAACAATTTTCGAATGGGAATCCAATGACTTGGTAGATTTCAATGCAAACAATACACAAGCATGCCTTTCCTCCAGAAAAGCCGATCTCACTGTGCCCAACATAAGCTTGTCAGGAGTAACCATACCTTTGAAGACATCCATTTCGATGCTTGGTATTACTATCAGCAATAACCTTCCTTCCAGAAATCATATGAGATCAATTGCTAAAAGTGCATCCCAATAACTTGGTTTCCTGTTTCGGGCCAGGAGCTATAAGTCACTTCCAGTCAGCTGCTTATGATCTATAAGGCACAGATCCGACCTGTCCTGGAATACTGTTCCCATATTTGGAATGCACCACCAAAACATACCCTGAAACTGTTGGATTCTGTCCAAAAAAGGGCAATTCGTTTCGTGGGTGATGCCTTGTTCACAAACTCACTCACTTCTCTGGAACACCGTAAAAAAGTTGGCGATCTGGCTCTATTCTATAGATATTTTCATAGACGATGCTCTTCTGAAATATCAACAATTGTTCCTCCCTTGGCAGTCCCCGCGAGATAAACCCGTCGAGTTGAGGCTTCGCACCCCTTCGTGGTCGCTTTGGAGACCTGCAGAACATCTCTTTCCAAAGACTCGTTCAGCCAACGAACAGCGAGGCTCTGGAACACATTGCCAAGGGAGATGTTCCCCGAGGCATATAACCTCCAGAAATTTAAGAAGAACACCAATTCCTTCCTTATTTCCCTTGGTTCGCACGATGTTCTCTGAACATTACAGAATACCCCTTCTCGTGGGAACCAGAACATAAAAAAAACATGACCAATTCTCACGGTTTGCCATGAAATAGGAAACGCTTCACTAGCACTTTGATATATCTCGTGAGGAGTGCTGATTTATTCCCGATTTGTGAGAACACAGTTCATTTGGTCTTGACTTAGATATTGTACGATTCACTTGCCAATAAAATAATTTTTCCAAAAACCAAATTCGTGGTCCGAATCATTCAAGTAGCGCACGAGAGGAAATTCCTATAATTTTCAAAGAACATTGTGCGTACCTTTTGGGAGGATAGAGAGAGAAGGTAGGCATTGCATTTTTCTAGATTGTAGGTTATGTCGGTGAATATACCCCATGACCGAATATTGTTTTAATCGAAAGAGAGGACGATGGCTCGCAAGTGTCATTCTTACCATTTTACTATATCGTATTATTGACTATATCGTACTTTTCATTATTGGAATTTTCTCTCCTCGTCTCTTCAAATGAAAATATTGAATTATTTGGATAAGAATACTTTCACGCGGAAACATTGCTTGTATAGTGGAAACAAATCAGATGATTCACACCAAAATGTCACTGCGGTTAAAATTTCCCTATCAGAAATCAAAAACTGAAATTCACCGGATAGTCAATGACACCGTGATTAAAAAATGTTGCGTTTCGCAAATATGTTTAATTCGCATTAACATTAACCGAGTATTACATAAATTTTGGAATTTGTTCATCAAGAAAATTGCAGAAATTCAAAATGCTTGCGAATTTGGGATATTCCATTTCAATATTGATGCGGTATCCTTAGGGTTGTAGTGATGAATATGTACTTTGGTTCATTCGTCGATAATACTATGATGCAGTTCATTATTATATATTTCCAATATTTTTCAGCGACTACTTCAGATCAAATCGTTACGGTCAACCCAGATGCTGACATACATTCAGGTAATATTGGACTCTTTGTATTTTAGTAGATACTGGTAAAGAATATAAGAACTAACGACGTTTGTGGATTACGTGAAACATCGTGAAACGAGAATTTATGAAACTGCCGGGGTTATATGATATATTTGTATATATATTTTTTTTTAATTTCGCGCTAGAATTTCGTGTTTGCAACATTGGTGATAGGAATCGATGCCTGCGGATTGGGAGCTTTATTTACCGGTTTTGGCAGCTGCATTCCTCAATGCACAATACATTCCATGAGGCGACAAATGAAACAAACATCCAATATTATAGATGCTTTATTTTTATACAAAAGCGATGTTCATTGATTAGGAATATAGTGATAAATATAAACTGAACCGATACAGGTAAAGAGAAACAGGTTATACAAATTGGCTAAAGAGCCATAGAAATAATTCCTTCTAGACCAGTATCTAGAAGGAAGAGAATATAACAAAGATGGAGGGAAAAATGAATTACGTGCGATAAGCGATCTGAGGTCGGGAAAGGGGTGAGCTTTCAAGGGTAAAAAACTACAATTCCTATGGAAAATCATTGATTGGCAAAGATCAATAACTTTCCTCCACATTTGCCTCACATAACCTCGAAATTTATGAGAAAAATTCAAATTACTAAGTCTGTGGATTTTTATTTTCATCTTTCACAAAAACTAACATTATTTCACCTCTTAATGTCTCAACTATATACACTCTAATTTTTTTTTTATTTGAGATATTCATTTTTTCAACTCATTTTGAAATTTATTCGAACAGTTAATGCGAAAACGGCTTCGAGAACATCAATTTAGATATCAATGAAAAATACAAATAAGCTTTGGTTATTAGAAATCAGAATAACTTCAATCATTTCTAAATTACTTCATTTTACCGAAAGCAACATTTCAATGTAATTTTTTTTCATCACAAAAAATCCACATTTATCGTTTGCGTTTTTTTGTCGAAAAAACTGCAGATAAGTGTAGGAAAAAAATTTAGACAAACTTTCATTTCAGTCTCTTCATTGATTCAGTCTGGTTGCTCTTGAAGTTATTTTAATTCCACTGTAAAAAAGGTTTGATCCATTCCAGAACGAGTTGAAATTGTTAAACTTTATTTCCAAAATAATAGTTGTGCTGGACTAACTACACGATTGTTCAAAGACAGTCATCCTGATAAAAATGTTAATGATTCGTATGTTGCCAAGTTAGTTAAGAATGTCGATACGGGATCTAATGTAATGTGAAACACAAGCCGCAGAACCCCATCAGAAATGAAGCTGTGGAAATCACTGTTTTGGGGCATGTTCAATTGGATCATACCATAGATCTAAATCGATGTACCCTTCAACTAGCTGAAGCCTCAGGAGTCTCCCGTTCATCCATAATACGGATTTTAAAAGCGTACAAATTTCATCCGCACAAAATTAAATTAGTACAGGAACTAAATGAGGATAATCCTGATAGAAGGCTGCAATTTTGTGTACAAAAGAACCAGCGTTTAATTGAAGATCCGCACTTATTATTCAACATTTGTTTTACCGATGAGTGTACATTTTATTCGAATGGAGATGTGAATAGGCATAATTGCCGTTACTGGGATGACAGTAACCCACATTTATTCCGTAAGGTTCATACCCAATAACCTCAAAAAATAAACGTCTGGTAGGTATTAGGAAGTCATATCATAGGACCACTTTTCATTTCTGGAAATTTAACTAGTGAAGTCTACCTAAACATGCTTGACGATGCAATTGATCCTTTCATAACACAGATAATAGAAGACGACGAAAATCATGATGCTGATCGGCTTCATTTCCAGCAAGATGGAGCTCCTCCGCACTATGCTGCTTCTGTAAGAGAATTTTCAGATAACCGGTTCCCCGGACAATGGATTGGAAGGAGAGGCCCAATTGAATGGCCTGCCAGGTCACCTGATTCATCGCATTTGGACTTTTTTCTATGGGGACACTTGAAAAATTTGCTACGAAGCCCGAGCCCATAGAAGATATTCGCCAACGGATTACAGCACAATGTAGAAGCATAACACCTGATATGCTACAAAATGTTAGAAATAGATTTGAACAAAATCTGTATTATTGTATTGCGTTAAAGGCACAGGTTGAAAAAAATGTCTGAGATGTGTCCCCCTCAAAAGCAAACTCCACGTGTCCGAGCATTTTTGCTTTCAATTCTAAACAAAGAAGAAAAGCTAGGTGCATACTTTTCGTTGGACCACTCTGTACATATATCCTTTCATCATTGTTATATTCTCTACCTCCTCCAATGGGTTTCATTCTACCATATTTTTTTTTCACTTTTACCATTTTCAAAGGCTTCAGCACTTGTCTACTCTATCAGTATTATTTTGTTCTAAAATTTGTTCTAAAAAAATTGATGTGATATTGTCAATATGTTTATTGTGTGAGGTCTCCTACAGACACAAAGATCATCAAACTAATATATTTGATTTTTTTGTTCTTTCCAGCGAAGGAATAACTATTTCTCATACTATTTTTATATCTTTTTTTTGTAGATTTGAACTGTCGATTTGGAGAAAAAACTATGAAACTGGGAGAAGGTCTGCATACCAAAGTCGTTCATTGGGGGAAGATTAAAAATGCCAAATGTGAATGTATTTTGCCCCCTTTTCTAACTTGCAAACCTATGTCTGAAGCTGCACTGAATTAGATTATATGTAGTTTAATCTTTACAAAAATATGCAAACATAAAATATTCTTAATATGTTCATTGATCTATCTCTTTCTTCGAATGAACTTTTATACCTACAAAACACATCACCATGTCAGACTAAAAATTTCGCATTCATTAAAAATGTAAATACTTCATATTCAGTTGTACTAGCTGCCTTAATGTACCGGGTGGCACAGACTTAGACATCGTCTCGAGCTGCAAACTGAATGCATATTGCAACAAGAACATACAATATTTGCACTAGTTGCAAAAATAACTATTTTCACCAAATGACACTGAAAGTGGATTTTTAATGACACTGCACAGGCAGAAAAGGTGTACTTTAGCAGAGAAAGTACTGCCTAGGCCAGGGATGGGGAAATGGCGGCCCGCGGGCCAAATCCGGCCCGCGACATGATCTCATGCGGTCCACGATCAAAACGAGTCATCGAATACAATATTGCCCTGTGATAAATGATATAATTGAATTCTTGCGACAACAATCGGAGATGGACAACTTGGAAATAATTGAAGACTCACAAGGGATTTCGGACTTCGCATTCTTCACAGATTTACTTGAAGGCATAAACAAATTGAATAAAAGCATTCAAGGCAAAAATCGGTTTCTTGACCAAGCCTGGACCCAAATAAAGGCGTTCAAGTTGTAGTTGCGTTTGTTTACAAAGCAAATTGCACAATTGTACAAAGAAATCTCGCTCATTTCCCAGGTTACAGACCGTTGGTGAATTGACTAATGAATAAGTTAATTTTTGTGCAAGTCAACCCAATCGCTTGGAAAACGAGTTCATAAGAAGATTTGAAGACTTCAAGAATGTAGAACATGACTTGAAAATATTTTCTTTCTGCCGTTGATTGGTAGCAAATTGCAGCTGAGTTCCAACTCGAAGTAATCGAACTATATGCAATGTGATGAAACTCTGAAACAGCTATTCAAAAACTCGTCAAAGCTTGATTTTTATAAAAGTTTACTAAAATCTAATTTATCAAATTCAATAAAACATGCTCAGAGAAGCATGTCCATGTTTGGGTCTTCATACATCTGTGAGCAGGTATTTTCTACAATGAAGCTGCGTGAAAATGTGCTCAGAAATAAGATAACTAACGAACATCTTGAATGCGTTTGGCGGATATCAGTTCGAGTGAAATAGAGCAAAATTTTGATGGCATGATTATTAAACAATCAAAATTTCATTTGTCACACCAACATTTTACTTCCAAATAACATAAACATTGAATCATATCTGATGTTGAACGACCAAAAGGAATGAAAAATGAAAATCCACTGTAATGGAGAATTGACATTCTCTCACAAATCAGAGAAAATAATATGGTGTATTATGAAATAAAAATATATAACATATCAATATGTTCAGTATTGAAATGAAAATTAAAAATGTATAGGAGAAGTATACCTACTTGTATTGAAAAAAAAATGATCTCACGATGTTCTGAGTATTAGAGTGGAAGGTATTCAGAACAAAGTGGTGTTTTGCTAAACTATTTCATTCTGACGGTTACAGCTATATTTTTTCTATTCCAAACTGACAGACTTTGCTTCGCTATCCATGGTTGAAAATACCAACGCTGATAGACCAATCAAAAATTAAAGACAACACAAGTTCTCTCTGGCTTGTAATTGGTCAGATTATGTGATAGGTGAAATAGTCTAAGACACTTATAACTGGTAGAAAAAGTGTTCTTTCTCTGCCTAGGCAGAAAATTTTGATGCAATGCAACGTCACAAGTAATAACTTGAATCAAATTGGCAATCAATATTGAAAATGACTTTGGATGAACACAAAATTATGGATTATTCAGACTTTGTGTGAAATTGGAATTACATTGGAAAAACTATATATATTTGCCTTAGCTGGTTTCCTAACCTCGGCTACGCCTTGGCTATGAAACACCAGCCGTGGCAATAAATCTTGTGCTTTTGTGCCTAGTAAAAAAAACAAATATTTCTTGCATGCGATAATGCAATGACTCGCGCTGCTTCTGCTTTGTGCAGCGAGGTCTCACCACGGTCTCACCCACTAACATAAATAGAATGATATAATTCTCCACATTCGGATTCAATTTGTTTTGCCAAATTAGAGGTAATGTTCAAGATTTAGGATATATCGTAGGTACTTCGAGTTTCTCATTGCTATATCTTAAGTTTAGTATTCAAAGCATCTACAAGAGACATTATGTCATACTAATATCTTGTTTCATTTGACCTCTACTTCTCAATGGTACCTATTAATAAATTTTTTGTTTTTGTTGATTACCTACTTATCCAGATATTAAATCTGAATAACCTGTTGGTGGGAAAAACTTGTTGAAATCATGACATAATATAAATAAACGATTTATAATGAATGTGTTCAGGCTGTTGAACACTATTGTTGTCAATACGTTTACTTTTCTACCAACTACTATACCTACTGTCACAGTTTATGGAATATCTATCTACTGTGGACAAAAACTGTGAAAATGGAGATTTGTATTCCCTTTTTGTTGGCCTTTATAGCATTTTATGAAGTGGAAGGTAAGACATTCTAAATCGCATATTTATATAGGTATATTTAAACAGGGTGTTTCAAATTTCAGTATCAAGATTTCAGGGGTATATTCTTGAGATAAAAATAAGACTCATTTTCATAAACATGTATCCGCCAACGTTTCATTACCGATCTACAGAGCGATAAAGTTTCAATGTTTCTTCATTTTGGTATTAGATATTAAACAAAAAGGTCATTTTAGTCAAATGATAGAAGTGCTATCACCGCCCATGTGCGTCGTGCTATTTGCATCTGACTATACTGGGTGTTTCTAAGAAGGATGACGCTATTGCTGCTATAGGCAGAACGCTGCAAAATAAGTTGGGTTTGCTTGATATAGTTATTTATCTAACAAGTGTGGAAAGTCGTACTTTTCCGCACGCGACGGCAATTTGTCAAGGGTAGAAAAGACATTTTCCGCAAGAGTTAGGTATACAAAGTTTTTCCTACGAGTGTTTTTGTCCATATAATTAATGAGAAAAAAGGTTTTCAATAAAAGATATTTTATAATGATGCTACAAAATGACACATAAGACAGAATAGTTGCATGGATCATTTAGTTACTCCTAAATATCCTTATTTTCAATAATATGAAAATCGTGCGGAACAGTAACTTTTCAGCACTAGTGCGGTAATAGTATATTGTTTAACGAGCACGGAATGATAGTAATTTCCTACGAGAACGAAGTTTGCCGCATGAGCCATAGACGAATGCTGCAATCATTCGGGTAGGAAATTAGCATTCCGTGCAAGTTATACACTATAATTTCATCTATTAGACAGAGCTGTCATTGCTTGAAATTTGATATTCCATGGGCGATGAGTTTTTTTTGTTGAAAAATAACACAATGGAGTCATATATTGTGATATCAGATACGGAAATAAAATTTATGACATACGAAGTACCTCATTGATGTATCGAACACAGTAAAACAAGTGAGGTACGTAGTTTTTGAAAGGTATCAGATTAGTATAAAGGTCAGATAATTCATACGACGTTAAAAAAGCACATAATATTTTATCATTGCTCATGTAAGATGGAAGTAGAGGCCATGGCACCATATCATGAGCATATTTTTATATTGAAACTATCATTGGGCACCAATGATGTGTATACGACGCTATGAAAGTTCAGAGAACTGGAGATTTTTCGTACAAACTACGTACTTAGCCCGTACCTAGTTAATTGGCAAAAATAAAGACAGTAAAGTGAGCTAGGTACGTAGTTTATGGGAAAAAAAATCAAGACAGTCGAGTGTGCTTTTTTTACTTTCTTTGTTTCTTGTTTCGTTTTCTATTGGCAAGTGATTATCTAGGAACTTGTAAATTTTTTAGTTTTTCTATCGTATCTCCCGAACTATTGAATTCAGAGAAAAATGTTATGACGATTTTTTGTAGATTTTATCAAAAGGAATAATTTTGATTCTATAACATTTTCAGATATTTCCAGTTGTTTTCGAGATATTTGGAATTATCTGAGAATAAAATTTTCAACACTTTTGTTCCATCTTCCAATCAACAAAATGAAAAAATATTTCATGGTTCAGTGGAAGTCGATGAGCTTCATCTATCGATAATCTATTTTTTTCAATATATCTTCATAGTACCCTATGGGTCGTTAAATTTTTTTTTTTCATATTTTTCACTTTATTTCCTGTACTATTGGGTTTACAAAAAAAAAATATGGGAAATAATTTGTAGGAAATGTCCCAGTGGATAACTTTGCACTTTTGATAATTTTCGATTTTTCCATTTGTTTTCGATATATATTGAATTGAAAGGATTTCAAATTTTGATGTCTTGATTTTCATTTGTTATTCCATTTTCCGATGGATGCACGAAAAAATATCAAAATAATAATTTGTTGCGTCATCAAAGAGGCATAAGGTGCATTTTTCAAATTTGGATTTAGTCTATTGGTTCAGGAGATATGTCGTTTTAAAGCGAACCGTGTTTTTCGGAAAATCTCCTTGAAAAACTCACTTGGAATTTCCCGATCCTGCTCAATTTCAATAGGCTTCGTCTCTCTCTGATAGAGGTTTTTTTCACAAAAACTGAAATCGATCGGACCACTTTTGCGATTTGTAGAGTGGTTACAAGGAACTTCCGGTGAAAAATCGAAAAAACCCGGAAAAACCACCTTAGAGTTTTCCGATTTCCTTCATATTTTAATGACATAATATTGTTTTGAGTACAATAAGATGGCAAAATTTCAAGTCGATATGTCAAAGGGTTCCGGAGATATATCGATTTATGATTAACACAGAGTACAGACAGACAGACAGACAGACCACACACAAAAACCAAAGTTGCTCAAAATTCGATGGGGATCATTTTCTCCAAAGCAACTATACCTCTATCTCGCTTAGTTTCCGAGATAGCATTTTTGGCACGGCCGTAGTATACTCCACTATGTATAGCGTCGTATAACAAGTGGGGTACGTAGTTTTTGAAAGGTATCAGATTAGTATAGATGTAGTTTTCATAAGGTATTACTTTATCTAGAGGTCAGATAATTTATACGACGCTATAGAAGCAGATTATATTTTATCATTGCTCATGTAAGATGGAAGTAGAGGCCATGGCACCATATCATGAGTATATTTTTATATTGAAACTATCATTGGGCACCAAGGATGTGTATACGACGCTATGAAAGTTCGGAGAACTGGAGATTTTTCCCACAAACTACGTACTTAGCCCACTCGACTGTCTTGGTTTTTCCACACAGTCGAGTGAGCTAGGTACGTAGTTTATGAGAAAAAAATCAAGACACTCGAGTGTGCTTTTCTTACTTTCTTTTGTTTTTTGTTTTGTTTTCTATTGGCAAGTGATTATTTAGGAACTTGTAAACATTTTAGTTTTTTCATCGTATCTCCCGAACTATTGAATTCAGAGAAAAATGTTATACGGATTTTTTGTAGATTTTATCAAAAGGAATAATTTTTGTTTCATAACATTTTTAGATATTTTCAGTTGTTTTCGAGATATTTGGAATTATCTGAGAATAAAATTTTCAACACTTTTTTTCCATCTTCCAATCAACAAAATGAAAAAATATTTCATGGTTCAGTGGAAGTCGATGAGCTTCATCTACCGATAATCTTTGTTTTTCAATAAATCTTCATAGTACCCTATGGGTCGTTAAAAATTTTTTTTTCATATTTTTCACTTTATTTCCTGTACTATTGGGTTTACAGAAAAAATTATGGGAAATGATTTGTAGGGAATGTTCCAGTGGATAACATTGCACTCCTGATAATTTTCGATTTTTCCATTTGTTTTCGATATATATTGAATTAAAAGGATTTCAAATTTTGATGTTTGGGTTTTCATTTGTTTTTCCAGTTTCCGATGGATGCACGAAAAAATGATTGAATGATAATTTGTTGCGTCATCAAAGAGGCATACGGTGCATTTCTCAAATTTGGATTTAGTCTATTTGTTCACGAGATATGTCGTTTTAAAGCGAACCGTGTTTTTCGGAAAATCTCCTTGAAAAACCCACTTGGAATTTTCCGACCCTGCTCAATTTCAATAGGCTTCGTCTCTTCCTGATAGAGGTTTTTTTCACAAAAAATGAAATCGATCGGACCACTTTTGCGATTTGTAGAGTGGTTACAAGGAACTTCCGGTGAAAAATCGAAAAAACCCGGAAAAACCACCTTAGAGTTTTCCGATTTCCTTCATATTTTAATGACATAATATTGTTTTGAGTACAATAAGATGGCAAAATTTCAAGTCGATATGTCAAAGGGTTCCGGAGATATATCGATTTATGATTAACACAGAGTACAGACAGACAGACAGACAGACCACACACAAAAATCAAAGTTGCTCAAAATTCGATGGGGATCATTTTCTCCAAAGCAACTATACCTCTATCTCGCTTAGTTTCCGAGATAGCATTTTTGGCACGGCCGTAGTATACTCCACTATGTATAGCGTCGTATAACAAGTGAGGTACGTAGTTTTTGAAAGGTATCAGATTAGTATTGATGTAGTTCTCATTAGGTATTAGATTAGTATAGAGGTCAGATAATTTATACGATGCTATAAAAGCAGATGATATTTTATCATTGCTCATGTAAAATGAAAGTAGAGGCCATGGCATCATATCATGAGCATATTTTTATATTGAAACTATCATTGGGCACCAAAGATGTATATACGACGCTATGAAAGTTCAGAGAACTGGCAATTTTTCCCACAAACTACGTACTTAGCCCACTCGACTGTCTTGGTTTTTCCAGACGGTCGAGTGAGCTCGGTACGTAGTTAATGGGAAAAAAATCAAGACAGTCGAGTGTCCTTTTTTTTACTTTCTTTGTTTCTTGTTTCGTTTCCTATTGGCAAGTGATTATCTAGGAACTTGTAAATTTTTTATTTTTTTCATCGTATCTCCCGAACTATTAAATTCAGAAAAAAATGTTATGAGGATTTTTTGTGGATTTTATCAAAAGGAATAATTTTGGTTCTATAACATTTTCAGATATTTTCAGTTGTTTTCGAGATATTTGGAATTATCTGAGAATAAAATTTTCAACACTTTTGTTCCATCTTCCAATCAACAAAATGAAAAAATATTCCATGCCTCAGTGGAGGTAGATGAGCTTCATCTATCGATAATCTATGTTTTTCAATATATCTTCATAGTACCCTATGGGTCGTTAAATTTTTTTTTTTCATATTTTTCACTTTATTTCCTGTACTATTGGGTTTACAGAAAAAATTATGGAAAATGATTTGTAGGGAATGTTCCAGTGGATAACATTGCACTCTTGATAATTTTCGATTTTTCCATTTGTTTTCGATATATATTGAATTAAAAGGATTTCAAATTTTGATGTTTGGGTTTTCATTTGTTTTTCCAGTTTCCGATGGATGCACGAAAAAATGATTGAATGATAATTTGTTGCGTCATCAAAGAGGCATACGGTGCATTTCTCAAATTTGGATTTAGTCTATTTGTTCACGAGATATGTCG